TCGGATCTCAACAACGGCGGCTCCGATGAGCTTCTAAGTAGACTCAATCGATAGCTTGGGTTCGATTTGCATGGTAAAAGTGCTTCTATTTTTCTCCTACGTGCCCCATGCGAGTGGAGATGTTGCGACTCAAATATGATCATTATGGTGGCGTCAATTTATCTCCGATAAATTAACAAACCGCGTCACTCGGACGTTTCATAAACCATCAGCGCCGAATTGAGCTCCATCGTAGGAGGCTAATAAGCCCTGCAGGTATATTACTGAGCACGCAATTAACGATGGACGTTTCCGGCCGAGAACTAGATCGTCGCGGGCCGCGCGGGCTCGCGCGAAACTGCTCCGCCGCAGCGGCTGATATTGTAATAAACGGTGCGCGCGGGGCACCCGCAGCCATTAATTCACGTGCAGATCGCGCAAGGCGGCGGTGGTCCGCGGGGGCATAAGAAGGCGAAATTTAGTGAGCCACTAGTGGGAACGTACAGACCTCTAATGGCCATTCCGATGACTATGGTTCTCGACCACAGTGGCAATCCCCTTTCGGCCCCGTCACCCCCCAAGTCCCCGCGGCGAGCACGGTCCCTTCTACACTCTAACTCGTTCTCCGTCCTGCCGCGGCCACCCCCTTCGTTACTCCGTCTCACTTCCTATCGGATTCTCCTCCCCCGTGGCCCCCCGTCCTGTCCCACCCGCGTATGCAACGGCGTTCCAGCAATTACGCATCGCCGCAGTTAAATACAATGGGCCAGGACAACGACTCTGTAATTTATCCCCGGTTTGGGCCACCGCCCGTGCGTTTGTTTCCGACGACGACGGTGGAGGTCGTCGGTGCCCTTTCCGCGCGACCATTCGACCCCATCCAGCGTTCGCCGCGTTTAAATTAATGATAAGTAATAATGCTGGTGGCACGACGGACGTCGTTGCCGTTGAAATACGGCTCGGGGGTGATTATCGGCGCATTATACGAAAGTATCGTCGCCGTCGAAAGTGTCTCTTGTTTAGAAAATTTTACGCGGACGTCTGGTAACGCGCGGATAACGATCGCCCGAGGATTAAAGCGTACAGTGCCCGAGTCGAAATTTTCCCCGAAAACCATATAACTTTTGTCTCAAACGTGTGTTTCTAAATATAGTTTTTGAAAAATTTAGGGGTTTCTATACCTTTTCCCCACCCTGTATAATAGAATTAAAGGTTCAACGTAGGGCTAAAATTTCGACACGGGTGTGCATTTAACAATATAAACAACGCGCCCGAGTCAACGCCTATTGTCAATTGTGAATCACCCCCGTATTACTGGCGGCAATCAACGATTCCGTGAATTATTCCGTCACGGCGCGCGTATGAATCTTTAATGACAGCGACCGTCGTTATTATTCATTCCCGTTTCTTCGACATTCAAATTTATGATAATTAATAATATATGATACGCATAGACGGCGCACACAGACGCGCGTGCATATATTTAAAGCACGCGTCGATAAAAGCCGAACAACGTGAATTTGCAAGTCTTACGAGCTCGCGCGAGACACACGCCGCTTATTTCCCGTTCGCCGTAATTAATTGACGTATGGGTCGTTAAGGGATGTCGATTAACGAACGAACGATCGATGCTCAAGGCATTAAAGTTTAAAGCGCTTTAATGATAACAGAACGCGATAACAGGACGTTCCGCAGGAGAAAAATTCGTGTCGCGATTCGCGGTGTTCTCATGATCATCACAGTAGTCACAGTACTCGGCTTTTATTGCTAATAACGGCTTGAGTGCCTTCATGCGGGCAATTATTATCTTACGATCCGATTACTTCTATTACGCGCGCGCGACTCATAAGACTCCTTTTGTTATATTTATCCTTTTAAACGTTTATATTTTTTACGCGGGTCCACAATGCGTCACGATGTCATAAATTTGCTCGTCAGACTTTAAGGACAATTACGGTCGTGCAAAAAGTATTAAGTCTATATCTGTACGACAGACTCTTACTTTCATTTTTAAACAGTTGCGATTGTGCTATTTCAATTGGCAATACATTTACAGGAATATTTATATTGTCATATTTAACTCACAAATAGATTTAATATCGCCGGCGGTTTAAAACCAATGATATGTAATTTTTAAACGACCTACACTGGCCAAGGTTTTTATTTTAAAAAACGACGTTATTGTAAAAAAAACGGCAATTGTGCGAACAGATTACTCGAAAAGGGTCCAAATCTGGGACCGAAACGTCGTTTTTTTTTTTAAATAAAAACATTGGCCAGTGTAGGGCGTTTAAAAATTACATATCATTGTCGTATTCAAGTTTTATTCTTGAAATTAAACAACGCACGCGTGCAATACCGTCTCGCGTTTTTGACGACCGTAATCTTTTCGCGACTGCCGGTAGCTTTGCTATACGCGATGCCGAATAAAAAAAATACGCGCTCGTAAATCCGATCTCTGCGAGCACGTAAACGCATACGTGTGCACGCAATATCGTCTAACAGGTGCGCACCTATATCGCTTATCCCGCGTCGTTCGCGACAAGTCCGCGTGCGAACACGCTCGAATATTGACGTACCTATTGGCATCCTCGATCGAATTCCGTTAGGAATACTTCAAAGCCGATGTTTGCCGATTCGCCGTTATTTTGCGGAGATCAAACTGACAGAAAACGAAATCTTTTCTAGTTAAAAGAAAATAAAAAAAATATATATACGTGACGCGATGCGCCAACAAATAACCATATAGCAGTTACATCTCGATTCAATGAATTGCAAACGAAATCCTGTAAAACGTTTTGTCGTTTTGTTGGATACGTCAAATATGTTACATAGTATTATTTTGTAAATTGTATCTACAAAAATTTTACATATACAAGTAAATTTTATTTACCATTTAAAGGCACTCGTATCTGGAGCTGCCAATCCGGATGCATTGGATTGATTGATAAATAAATTTCACTGCACGTAATTACTGAAGCCACTCTCTTCTGAGAAGAACCAGTATTGCCCATCCAATTGTTTTATCTATTTAGGGACGTATCCTCTACGGAACAGTACTTGTACTGTTACAACACTTTTGTAAATGTAAAACTTCAATTTGTTATGCAAAACGGAAGTTATTTACGGGTCGACCCGTAGCGTGCCAATGAATTTAAAACGCGTTAAAGTAGAACAAAACTAATAGCAGCAAGGGGGATCACGTGTCACATTGGCCAGACTTCCACTTGAGTGTCTCCGGCCACGCTCGAGATACCGGACGGCTCGTTAGTTCAGGATCAATTAGCGCGTCGCGAGGCGTCACCGAAAACGGGAACTTTGAGAGTTTTCCCGGTGAAACAGAACGCCTTTCCAAAAACACGACTTTGTCGCGTGCTCGCTCGCACGCGCGCACGTGAAGAGCGTGGAGGACGCCGGTATGGTAACGATGCTAATTAACGCGGGGATAATTTTAGTTGAGTGCGCTTATACCGCAGCAGCATGGCGGCATTTCTAAGCGCCTCTCGGCGGTGCGACTGCTGGATGTTTAATTGGCGATTGAACCAGTATGTCGTTACTGCATTTATTTCTATTGCTTTTGCGTAAGTGCAGGAATGCAATAGAGCAATGAGTTTCTTCAGAATGACCGTGCTCCCTCCTAATCATTCGTTAACCTTATTTTTACAACTTATTGCATTATCTGCTGACAGTTGTACAGCTGTTGTTTTTTCTAGTCTTACGAATTTACACTTTATCACTGCTTGAAACGCTCCCTGTGCCATATTAGTTGATAATTAAGTTACCGATTTCATTAACAGTCGTGTCATTGTGTACTATTGTACACCGATAAAAATGGGAGCACAGTTTAACATAAATTTACATCTCGTTATTTTTGCCGACCGATTTTCGAAGTGATCTGTCGCGTTTGTCAGGAATGTACTTTCATACTTTTCGTTTCTCTCACATGAATGTAACGGGTCTAAACACAGATATTTATCAGCCACTAACTACACGGAGAGAATTTTTCCTTCAAATTTATCCTGGAAAATCATGTGATCGTGGGACGACATGGGAGAGTAAAATGTATGGTAGTGACAGTGTTTTACGTAGATAAAGTTGAAATCGTCTAGATAAAGATAAGATAAGACATATAAAATTTTATCTTAGATAAGATATAGGTTATTTATTTCTAGTTTATCTAGATAATAGATGAAATTATAAGCATTTTATCTAGATGATTTCAAGATAACATTGCTTTAAAAAGTAATTAAAGAAAACATAAAAACAATTATATTTATAAATCTATTAAAAAAGCAGGATTATATTTAATTGGCTTGTAAAAGAATAATGTACAATTGCATTTATAAAAATATTGCAATAGTTGTGCACAATGTATTGAGAAAATTTAATTTACATATCAAAAATTACAAATATTCTAACAGATAATGCTACAAATTTTAATGCTAAATCATTTAGATGCTTTAGCATCACGTATGAAAATTGTGATCAAAATTGACTCACGTTAGAAGCAAATAAAGATTTGAACAGTATGGAATAGTGTGAATCAGATTCAGATATTGAAACTAATAAATTTGAAATATTAATTTCTTCAAATACTAATAATGTTGTACATGGAAATGATAATTGTTTGTATGAATTTCGGATAAGCTAGGAAATGAAATTATTTACCAATGATAAATAATGGGTTAAACCTAGCCACGAAATACTGAGTGCTGCTGAATGCAACCATTATCTTAGATAATTTCAGACAGATAACGTATTTTTAAATCTAAGATAAAGATGTAGAGAATACGTTTCATTCTTATCTAGATAAAGATGAGATAAGGAAACAGCCTTATCTAGATGATCATCTAGATAATTTCATCTAGATAACAGAAAACACTGGGTAGTGACACGGTTACATGATTTGCGGGGTAAATTTTGAAAGAACATTCTCTCCGTGCATTATTGTTTCTCGTCAACGTTACATTATTATCCAACTTTGCTGATTCATCAATATAATTATCGCGTGCAAAACTTCCTGCATCAATATTGATTAATATTCATTACGAATAAGTTGTGAGAGATGAGGAAAAGGTGGAGGAGAATGCGCGTGTCGAGGGCAAGAGATTCCTTTTACTTTGATTTAATCGATGGCGAAGTGTAAGCGGATTACATGGAATATTATAGTCACCTATTGCGGAAAACATTATATAGATACGTTATACATACTTTCCGTCCAACTGCAAGATGTATAACATTTGTATCTAGATTTGTATATACGAGGAATATACAATGTGAGATCTGTTTCACGCAGTGATATAATAATCACTATATCTAATCTCTAGTTTATATCTTACATAGACTATATAGACAAGAGCCACAATCTGCCGCTATATTTACATAATGCATAATCGCTATATGTACAAATAAATAGTTTACATTTAATTTATAGGAAACTCGTATTGCAAGCTAACCTGAACGTACGTATAGCCTACATACTTGTGTGTCTAGCCGACAGATATTAAGTCTCAGAATTAACATACTGGCTAAGTGTAATCTAAATTTTAGGACTTCGTATGCAATACGACCAAAGCAACCTTTTGACTCGCGTTTAAAAATGTTAAAATTTGTCACACACAATATTTTTTTTCCCCCGTTGCGAGGATTGGCAACAGACAATAGGTAAAAACTACCACGAAACTTTCTGTAAGGATAAAATAGAAAGATAGATTAGTTAAGAAATACATAAGTTAAGATCGAGATGGTAAATTACCCTTTCTTTGAGAAAGGAATTTAATCTTTCCGTCGTTCCCGGTCTTCTAGAATACTTTTTCAAAGTATATGTAATTGAGTTTATTCAGAATTGTTAGAATAAGCAAAACCGTCGAACTCTGTGAACGCCCGTCCAGTTTAAGCACGAAAATACCGAGGGGAAATCATTTTCTACGATACGCTATAAAAACCTCCTTGCTAATTAAAAAAAATGTTATATCTATCGACATCCGATAAATTAAGGGTCTGTTAATATTCTAGATTGCACTTTTATAAAACTGTCACGTGGATTTCATTTCTCTCCACGATAGTTTTGTCATGTGTATTTCAGTCTTTGCTCAATCATAGTAATCGTTGCGTACTCGAAATTGTCCCATAAATAATATTCGTATTTATCGGTGTCTCTCTTTGTTGAAGCTGATGGCAGCTTCTAGAAGCGCCTACAGTATCAATCTAGTCTCTAACTCTCCGTTTCGTCGCTGGCATCTGAATTTATGCGAGCCTCAATGATCTCTTCCGGTTACGATCTCTTCGCCGTCCTCGTCCACCGGCACGGTGGAGTGATTGTAAAGACCTTGCGCCATTAGCTGAAGGGCCAGCGGATTCTTCTGTCCGGTCGCCTTCTTCATTTTCGCCCGCTTGTTCTGAAACCAAATCTTGATCTGCGCTTCATTGAGGTTCAACTCCCGCGAGAGATGCTGCCGCCTTCTCTCCGTCAAATATCGATTCTCCGCGAATTCCCGCTTCAGCCTGGCCAATTGTTCAGCGCTGAAGGCCGTCCTGGGCCTCTTCTCTTCCGGCGTGCCGGTCTTCTGCGGACGTTTGACTCGCCTCGTGCGCGGGCCTGAAACAACAATGGTAAAGCCCGCATTAATCTTGGCGCGCCGACTTTTGTGACTGAAGTTCGAGGCGGCGAGGGCATTATCGCGGGGAAAGTGGGCGTCCTCATCAATTTGTCCACACACCGCCGTGATGCAGCGCTTTCGCGACGACGAAGACGCTCGCGCTCGCTCGCCTCTCGCGGGAAGGATAACTATATCTGAGCAAGCGCTTTGGAATTTAGCGAAGGCGGAAACGGCTCGTCCAACCGCATCGCATCCGAATGGGAATTACAGTTTTACGCGACTGCTAATGCCCGCCGTTTATATTCTCGTACGACTTAACGTGATACGGTTACATTATTACAAAGTCAAGGCTCGAGTCACGTGTGCGTTCTTTCTCACGTTCGCGATCGGAATTTTGCGAGGCATGCTTTTAAGCGCGATAACGAGTACTCCGATCGCCCCTGCGCAGCGTCTCGTCGAAGGTAAACGTTCATCGCCGAGAACGCTGAGCATTAGCATTACACGCTTTTGATTTTTATTTAACTACATAGATAACGCAACCGTGTAGAGCCTGGAACACATCCGCGTGCTTCCGCGCACGCCTGCAGTTATCGCCGATGTTATTATTATCTTCGCAGAAACCGTTAACCGATCGTTTCAGCTGTTTGTAGTTTAAAATATATCTCCGCGACGAGAGACGTAATCATTACCGATAGGACGTAAAGTACATATAATTATCCGCATTATTATTACTTCTGAAAGAAGTCATGTATTCCGACACTTGGTGATTTCAAAAAAAAAAGAAGAAGGTTATCTGATCGTTTCACATACCGATCGTTAACGTTATTGCCGGCATTATCGTCGCTTTAAAAATACCGAACATTAATTTCGTCGCCGCAAGAAAACGCAATCGTGTTGCTTTTGTCACAATCATCGCCTCAGTTTCAATCATAAATAATTGATGTCGAATTATTCAACGATTATATACACGACAAGGTCTACTCCATTGGTCTTCATTCTCTCCCGCGTTCTTTTTGTTATTACGCAACGCCTTTGAGCGCGCATATCTCCAAGAAATTCTTCATTCAAACGAGCTGTCCGCGGCGCGACGGAAATGCGAGAGGAGTCCGAGATTAAACGAACCCGCCGAGTTACGTGCAATAAAGTGTGCTTGCAGTCCGTCCGAAATAAATTGTTAAGTACACTAAATGCATCGCTTTCGAATTTGCGATTGCACGGAGAGCTCGCGAAAATACCGCGCGACGGAGCAAGCAACTCCGTATTCGAACGTGGACAAGATAAGCGACTTTGTTAATGCTGCGACGTGACAATTAGTTGATAGCGACTGGAGTCGGAGTTACCGGAGGTTTTCACTTTCGCGATCACGGCTCCAATGCACAAACTGTTGAGAAGCTCGATACGATAATACGGAATTTTTTTAAGGTCCCCTGTAAAAACATAATAGTATCTTAAACGCAGACTATTGATACAATTGCGTCACTTTTATACCAACTTTTGTATTAACTTCGTTCAATAAATATTTAATTCAGCCTCTTGAAATTTTACCACACATTCTACTAGTAAGATGTACACTAAGTATAATTAGTCAAACGTACGGTAAAATTTCGAGAAACTTTTATAAAGTTCTTCGAACTGTTGTCCCACGATTACGTGATTTTCAGGATAAATTCTAAGAGAATATTCTTTCCGCATGATAAATGACGATTCGATTCGAATCCCTCTCTCCCTCTCTATTGCAGTCTCTTTCTACGTATCGCTGAATGGTACAAAATGTTACACGAAATAGCACTCAGGGGTTAACGCTCGACGATGAAGAGGCTCGCGTAGGATAAGTGGGCGATGCTCGACAATTAGTAAAGAGATTATCGGGTCGAGACTCACGGACCACCCCGAGCACAAGAAAGGCATTCACCTGATAGAGAAGGCGCGATAAGCGTACAGGTGCGCGGGGAAAAAGAAGCGACGAAGAAGACGGAAGAATGGCGTATGTGGGGCAGTGATTGCAGAGGGTAGTTCGCAGAATGTAGGTCCTACACAATTAAGTTCTGCGAACGGGCGCAGGTGGCGTCGGGTCGTACGTCAAGCTTCGCCTAGCTATACGTGCAATTAGGTGTACCGATCCTTTCAAAGTTCCGTGATCTCCTCTGCGCGCGGAGTGTAATAACTTATTGCGGTAATATCGAGCGGCGGGATAGACATTAGGTTCGTATGTTGGCCATCACATAATCTATTTGTGGGGCGAAACTGTTATCTAACGCGAACGCGTAATTAGATACTCGCGAGGCAGAGATCGCCGCAATTTGTTCGGCGAGGCGTCGCGGATAATCACGACTCGCGCGGACGCGCCGCTAGCGCGGGGTTCGCGCGGGCGATTAATCATTTAAATAAGTTCATCGATGCGCGATCGCGACGGCTGCGATAGCGATTCGCGCGTCGCGCGTCCCCGCTCGTCTCGTGCATTGGTATCATTAAGCGTTCTCCGTGCCCCGTATTCGTGCGCCTCGGGGTCTACTTTGTCCCTTTTCTTTTTTTGATACCGAATAGAGTCGCTAAACCGAGAAAGTATAATTCGTGCGAACGAACCGCGATTATATGTGTATGTACATATGCAAAAAAAAAGCGATTGCGCTCAAGCTCCCGCTAATCGCGCAGAAACGCGGAGCGACTTTTTCCTCGATCCGTGACTTCCAGGTACAAAGCTCGCGATAAGCCCGGACGAAAGCCACGTGTTTTGCTCGCCAAGGGATTTTTACTTATCTTCATGCCGCATAATTTTTCAAACGCTTCGGGCAGGGATTTTAATTAGCGGTCGATCGTGATTTTGTAACTGGAGCGCATTATGGAGCGCATAAGTGAACAAAACATCTTGATAGACATTTCCGACGTTGCGACCACGCAAGTTCTTCTTGCATGCGCAACGCTGAACGCAAGTCACGTACGACGCGCAACAGAAAATCCGATGAATTTCTAACTTGTTTGCTTTTTAACGCGCATCATTGGACGTGCCGGTTCAATAGCCAAGCGCGTATCATCGATACCCGCGATGAGATAACGAGGACGTCGCGAAATATCGAGAGGTAAACTTTTTAAACAATATGACTTTTCCAATATTATTAAAACAATACTCAAGACTGATCCATCGAATGCTTGCTCCGTGGCCATTGCGTATAAAATTTTTACGAGACATAGGTAGATCAATATGTAATAAAGGTTTAAGGATAAAGGAAAAATATTTATGGAGTTTTACCGGAGGACGGCCTGTCGGAATATCTCGTGCAGTAGACCCAGGCGGGCCACAATTGGCTCTGGCTGCTCGTGCCATTTTGCTGATTTGTGCTACCGGAACTGCCGCCGGCTGTGCCGTCGCCGTTTACAGAATCGCCGCCGACCGTAGACGACGTAGAACACAAGGAGGGCGGGCCGGTGACTGTGCTACTGTTGACCGAGCTCCTGCTGGACTCGAGACTCTCTAAGCTGCCGCTTCTACTCAATCCGTTCTGCCTTTGCAACGGCGACGTGGGCCCATTGTGCGACGGTAAATTGTCCTTTTCTTTGTGGACCGACTGCGGTGACAGTCGGGCAGACGATAGACTGAGGTCCCTCGGGAGCGGTGGCGGGGTGTGTTCCGGCAATTGTAACAACGCGGTCGGGACGGGTGGATTCGTACGAAGTGCCTCGCGACCGAAGTCCGGCCTGAGGATGTTGACGACGCTGAATCTCAACGGTGCCCCGGTGTTCTGCTGGTGGTCCGGCTGGGGCTCCTGATGCGGCACCACATAGCTCTCCGCCGATAGCACGCGATGACGAGAATGATGATGGTGGTGGTGGTGACTGGCGTGCTGGCGAGTTGGCGACTGGCGATTGGCGCCCCCCCGTCGCAGAACGCACGTGACATCCCTGGCTATGTACAGGGTCATTTTAATATCAAGACGCCAAGGTGCAATCAAAATGCCCGTGCCCGATAAAATTACGGCGGAAAGTTAATAGCCGAAACTATGTCGTTGCGGCTATATCGAGGAGGAAACACTAATTTTCACTGTCCACTGCTCCGTCAATGTACCGCTCTGCCGCGTTAATTAAAAATCCGCCGGTTGTCACGTAGTCGCAAATACTCCAAATCGATAATTTCAACGGCAGTCTCTCGTACGCACTGTTCACGTGTCACCAATACCGTGCCGGTACACGTAGTCCCACGCGCCGTGTTCCTCGAAGGCTACCGCGAGTCCCTTCGCGATCGCACGTACTTGTGATTCACTAGTCAGTCCTTAGAAATTGTCGAATCCGTTGTGGCAGATTCGAACGTGTAATGCAAGAGAGAGGCTCGCGGCGGAGGCTCTTAGAAATATTCATGCGTCCAGTGTGGTTTGGTTGCCCGGCTCGCGTTAATTATCGGCTCGTCTTTGGAGCCGGTCCAATCCATAGACTCCTGCTATCGGCTTTTCCCGAGGTTTCCGAGTACTCCAGCGAGTGCTGTGACGGGTCTGACTGGCTGTCCATCCGTCGCTCAGTGATGTCTAAACTAGGGGACCCGAGGTCCCTACTTACCGCCTGTCTCCCCTCGCCCCTGTCCCTTCACTCCTCCTACGCCGCAGTCCGGAGTGCAGTGCACTAGACACCCTCGATTGTATCTCTATTAACTCTTTGGTCAAAGGCTCCGCCCACTGGCATAAGGTGTACCGTACTCCCTTCCGCCTGTCGTCATCCCCACCGCCAGTGGTACGGGTAGTAGGGGACTACGCTCACCAATTTCCTGGGGATCGATGTGTAAAGCGCCTTCCACCAGACTCCCAACAACGAGATTCGTCTCCCTTTAATTTCCACACTTTTGCCGTAACTAGTTAATTAATAGGGCGAGGGATTTAAACTCGCGTTTATCGGCACCGTTCAAAAATTACATTTACTACACGCGCATAATATCTAATTCACTTTTAAACGCGCAAGTCAATTACTGGGTCAATTATCGTTAATCCGCGTCATTTATGTGACGCGCAATTTAATTGTGACACCACGATAAAAATATCCGTGTTAAAGAAGAAGCGAAGAGAAAAGTACTTTTTAATACGACACGGTGTCGCGAATTTTATTACAATTTGTGCGTTTCATTTGCCATTATATTAGATCAAAATAATGTTACTGAAGATATACTTAAATCACATACGTGATTTTTAAAGATTCTGAATAAAATCGTTTTCACATTTACATCAGCTGCCGGTTAAGAAATTGTTACAAGAGCAGATAGACAGCTGCTGCGCGAGATACCCCGTGCGAAATTTTGTTTACAGAGATTTACAGTCCATTTAACATCGCGCACACTTGGAATATACGAATATCCGCGCCACTGTGAACAATAACGAGAACACTCCGCCCCATTTGAGTTCTCCCCACCAACAGTCCAACTCCGGGGACTCGCCCACGTTTTCGCCCCTCCCCTGCTACACCACGCCCCCCCTGCCACCCCTCCCACTTTTACCCACTACTCCATACTTTTGTTCCTCCCCACCGCGGCGGTGTTGTCGACCCGATCAGGTTGAAGTCGACTAATTCGTTTCTTCGAGCCGAAGAGCTCTCTCTCCTTCTTCCTCTCTCTACTCTTCCCCCTTCATCCCGGCGAGAGAAGTGGATTTTATCGTCGCCCGTCGGAATCGCTTCATACAAAAATTTGCACAAACACCATCAGCGCCATGACCGGCTATTATTCTCCTTTTTTTCCGGCCCCGACGGCTTTGCGACGGTTAACGAACAAATGTATCACTCACCCTATGACAGATGCTGTTCTTCTCCCTGTTCCTTTTCCCCGTGTCCTTCATCTTTCTCTGTTATTCCACGCGTACGTTGTACAGTTTTTTTTTTCACCCTTCCCTCTACACATCGCGGCGTAACTTATTCTTAGATCGCTTAATCGTACCGACGCTTCAGAGAGACAATTGGAAAGGGAGGAACAGCGCAGTCGAGTCTATTGTTGGACGCTTTACGCGAATCCACAATGCAGCTACCGTGTAATGTACCTTCCGCAATCAGTTCTGCCTCGTAAACCTTAGTACGTATCGCATTTGAATATTTAAAAATTCAGAGAGCACCGAATCTTCTGTAACAGCTTGCGCGTGAGATCTTGAGGTATCCACTTGCGGGGTTTGCGTAAAAGTCGGAAAGCTTTGACGCGCTAAATGTAAAACGAGTAACATTATTTACAGCCCGTGTATTGTTTACAAAGGTCGTTGGGATCCTCTTCTCTTACCCTTACGGCACAAAGCACCGAGGGACGTCTTGGGGACGTCTCTATAGGTAATCGTGCTGTGCGATTTATTAGAACCCGGACTAAATCGGCGTGTGACTTTTTCTTTGCCGAGCCGTGTTTTTGCCCGCAGCGCGATTATCGCATGGATCAACGACGACGACACTCTCGTCTGTTAATCAATGGAACAAAATTACGGTCGTTAACTCTTTAACGTCTGCTCGCTTATGGGACGCTCATTCTCCGTTGCAAGCGTCATTCGGTCCTGACATGAAAGCAGCGAGGCTACGCATTAGAAACACGCGAGATGTATAAGGACTCGTCGTTAAAACGGTTGCAATTAAAGCCCGTAACGAAATCCGCCTAGCGATGTAAAGGTCGCACGCGATAAGTCAGGTGTTTCGCGCGGTAATTGGCGGAGACACTCGACCTGCCGTTCACGCCTAGAAGAACACGCCTGGTGCCTGGTCGACGCGACGACGCAAAAATGAGACATGTGCGAGCATTCGGGAGACACGGCTGATTTGCAAATTTAATGAAACTTCGTTGTCTGAAGGGAAAGATCGGTAAATGCTAAACTGAGAAACATCCGCTCGCCAGTAAAGCGCAGGGAAAATATAAAAAGTATTTAATTGTTTCTTGAATTTCATGTAAAAATGACATTTCAATTGAAAACGTTTTTGTTTGTACAAGTACAAGTGATTTATACGTACTTCAGCATATATCAGATGAAAAGCTGAAGAATGCTTGCTTTTTACAAAACGCCATATCAGATGCATATATTTTTTCACGGCTCCTTCTACTTAAAGATCGCCGTCCGATACGTACGTTGATTTAACAAGTTTTGCACCATTTAAGAAATTCAAGGCACCTGCGAGGTAATGAACTTTGGCTGTTTTGCCAAGTGTGCCGAGTTAATAAGCTCATTAACGCTATTTGATGGAATAATATACGGCAAGGAGTGAGCGTGTAATTAACGCGATGCACTGAAGTGAGCTTTCAAATAGAAGTTACAAGCGTACTCGCACTCGACGAATCAACATTTTTATCAGTCATCGTCAATTTTATCATCGCTCGCCCGGACTTCGCCTTACGAAGACCGTCATAAATTACAGAAGCATAAATTTTAACGCCAATTATTGTCCGGATATCGACGGCCTTCGAATAATACCCCACAATTTATTAGCCACCGGCTCCACTGGTGTTGACGATGTTACTTATATCTTTTTCCATGAACCGTTCGTCTCATTTCATTACTTTTGCTGACCGTCCGACAGTCTTGCAACAATTAAACCACTCGCCAGTCAACGGAACGTAACGATAGATCATGTCTTGAAGTAAATGGAAAGTGTCATTTGTTAAGGTAGTTATTTTGTAAAATTATTTCTGTGAGAAATTGTTTCAAATTTTTACAGTTTATTCTTTACATTAATACGTGCAAAATAAAACTAATTAAATTAAAATTGACCGCCTCAAAGTACTAAAAACATGTTAAAGTTTGCTATGTTACACGAAATATTACGTATAAAACACTTAAAAAATATTATTACACGTTACAATATAATTCGTTGTAATTTTATTACACGTGAAATATTATTTACGCATATTATTGTGTGTTAAAATATTAACAAATTAAAATTTGTATGGCTCAAATGTGATCAATACAAATTTGAAGGAATAAAGGACTGAGAGCCGTGACAGGGTGTTATTGCGAAAACTATTACCTCAGCCAGGGTAATATTTTTGATAATAAAGATAGTGTTCGTGGGAATAGAATGCGAAACTGAACAAATACGTAAATTTTTCAGTTACTTACACTTTCTTACGTACTTATTACTTAATTCTCTTTGCATCACTTTCATGCAACCGGCAAACTCGATTGTACGATCGTTTCCCTTACACCGGACTCATTACATTACGGTACGCTTAAAGCCGAGAGAAAATTATAAATTTCTTTTTAAGCACTGAACAGGATAAGAGGGAAGGTACCGCAATTCTCTGTGATTATCGTCCGCGCCGCTACAACTGACGTAGCTACCCCCAGGTGCTGTAGCTGTTATACCGTCTCGAGAACCGGCGTCCTCAGTCGCCACAATGTAGACTATAATGTCGGCGAATTGTGCGTCCGTTTTACGTCTCTCGTCCTTTCGCATAAAGACCCAAAATTCCAAGAAAGAGAATATACGATTCCCTCTGATGGACGCGCGCGACCGACCGACTTCGGACGGCCGATGACTGTCCGACCTTTTTGCCGCGCGAAGAGCACGCGCTCTCTTATTCGTGTCCTCGTCGATGCCTGTCGTTGTCGGTTCGGCTTCTGCGGCTCGGTTTCTACGGCACAAAGGGCGACTTCCTTTGTTTCCCGAGGTTACGTAGAAGCGGGTAAGATCGTCGTTACGGCCGACGGTTTTATTAATGGCCACACCTAGGGACACCAGCTGCCCTGTGAGCCTCAGGGCGATCATTAGCCACAAGATCGCCTCGTGTAGAGACAATAATAGAGATAGCAACCATAAATAACTACAACGTGTCCATCCATCGATAGCGTCTAGCTGAGCCAAGTTTTGCTTCGACTATTTCCATACGGAATCGGCGAGCTAAAGTGTAAAGCTCGATTGTATACGCCGGTACACTTTCCTCCAGTACACCAAACGCCATAGAACAGCTTCTCTTTCACTTTATCCCAACATTCTTCCGATACGATCGTTAATGTAATAATTGAAAAACTTGTTAGTTTTTAATTTGATAATGTCATACTGAAAAGTTTCCAAGAAGGAAAAATACAACACGCGTGCGCGCTATTTCCACTGATAAAGACGTACATTTATATTACAATTTCTAACTGTTAAAAGTTAAAACTGTTTTCGTCGTTAAAATTGACGGAAGAATTTAAAAACTTCGAGTTCTCGAAAATTTGGTACGCGTGTGGCGTGACTACTGGGAAATCTTCAATCATCGTTACGCCATATGTCATTCAATCACAAATTACAATTCACAAGACTGTCGGCCGCGTCATCAACGGTTCAGTTGTAAATTATTACAAAGGCTCCTATTCGGGCCGTCGGCCCGTGGCTTGTTATACACATCGAGGCAGCGGCAAATCACCAAAATGCAAACCTTAATCCCCTCGTTAGAACGCGCGCGCGGTGCCGCGAGCGGGTCCGCGAAGTCTCTCGGGAGAAAACGCCCGCGGCGAGACCAATCGCCGCTCTGGGACGTCAGGGATTGATTGGGTTTTTCGTCTCGCGAATCCTCCCTCCCCAAAAGCGAGCAACGAGACGCGCAGGCCTAGCGCGCGGCGATCATTATTCCCCGAGCGCGATTTGTAAACGGGTTCTATTTATGGCACTGCAAACTCTATAATCAGCCGCCGCAGGGGCGACGACTTATTTAGAATAATTAATGCGGGTACGACCTCGTGAACCGGTCCGCGGCCAATAGGCGCGACGAATGCCCTACCACTGGTCGGCTAGAGGGGAAACGGTGGGCGGGATCAGGCGCGAACACACCTACGGGGAGAGCCCCGCATGCAACTTCGCGTGCAGCCGCAGCCAGGGGACTCTAGAGCCGCCGCGGCTCCCCTCTTTCTCTTACCGTCGAGACCTTTCGTCCACCGTGCTTTTTTCG